ATTGTGATATTCTATGTAGTCGATGTGATTCTCAGGAGGAAACGGTCAATCACGCAATTTTCGAATGCTCGCCAGCCCGACAATCATGGGCCCTAGCTCAGGTACCAGTGGGCCCTAACCATTTTCCGACTACGTCTATTTATGCGAATATGGACTATCTTCAGGTTTTATCGAATTCGGATGCGCAGTTTGATTTTTACCCATGGTTATTATGGTACATATGGAAAGCTAGAAATGGTAAAATGTTTGAGAATGTAGACAAATGTCCTTTGGATGTTACTAAACAAGCCAAAGATGAAGCAATGGCTTGGCGTGAGGCTCAAGAGGACGGCCAAAATGAGGTAGTGGAGGCGCAAGGTGCGGGCAGCTGCACAACCGGAAGACTTACCAGTCTTGCGCCTATCTCTTTTGGTTATAGATGTTTTATTGATGGTTCGTGGAAAGATACGGATAAGTTTACAGGTATAGGGTGGTTTTGTCAACAAGCTCATGATGGATCCAGGTTTTTGGGGGCTTCCAACCTCCGACGAAGCCTTTCTCCTCTTCACTCAGAAGTGGAGGCTTTGGTGTGGGCCATGAGATGTATGATTGGCCACGACTTCAGAGATGTTGTTTTCTTGACGGACTGTTCCGATTTGGTGAAGATGGTGTCTTCTCCTTCAGAGTGGCCGGCATTCTCTGTGTACCTGAATGATATCCAAGCTGATAGGGAAGAATTCTCTACTTTTTCTCTTTCTCTCATTCCAAGGAGTGCAAATGGTGTTGCGGACAATCTGGCCCGTCGAGTACGAGTTTTACCGCATGCTGCTAAGTTTGTGAACAAATGTCCCCTTCATTGGCTTTCTTGAAGTCAATCGTTCCGTTTGTTGTCAAAAAAAAAAATATATGGTGCTATTTTTGGAATGTGTGATAAATTTGGAAACAAAACTTGTTTTGGTGATATTAATGAGAATTGTCCTTTAATTAATTTCACTGTTTTTGAAACATCAAAAAATCTTATCAACCTCAATAGAGGTCTTGGTTCGATTTATTATGGTACTATCAGTATCGCCACATAACTGACACTACTCTATATGATATCGATGATAGTGATATGGCGATACTGGTCGTACACAAGTATTGGCAGTGTTGGGGGTGTCGCTAATAGTATAATATGATTATAACAGATCATTGACGTACACAAGTATTTGGTATTGCTCATTGATATATTAATTTATTCATATTATGGAGTTACAAATTATTACTTTATCTATATTACAAAATATATATTTTCGGAGGTTTTATGGCTATATCAAAAATTTGGTTCTTTTGTAAACTTTTATCAATGAATACTAAGAAATTGTAAATTAAAAACAATAATTCATTAAGAAATGAAATTTTTGTAAATTACTATTGGTTAATAATTACAAAAATGTGTTAGTATGAAAAATTAATGCATTTATAACTAAATATTATATAATTTTCTTAATTTGTGCGAAAATTTCACCAAATCAATCTTTTTGATACATAGAGCATACTAAATTAGGATATGATTTGAACCTATTACATCAGATCATGTATACTGAATAAGATGATTAATTATACATTTCGCACCGAACAAACATTTGTAAATGAAATTCTATATTTATCTTCCAATCTTCTAAACGGCTTCTTCGCCCTTTTTGATGAAAAGTTTCAAATTTGAGAAGAGGTATTCATCATTTTCTCATAAATAGAAGCACTATAGATTTCAATTGTTGGAAATTTCATTTGTTGGAAATTAAATAGTCAAATTCAAAAAATTCTAAAAATATATGTCAACATATATAACTAAAAATATGAGCATCTAAGATGAAATATAAATGATAAGCTCATATTATTTAAATATTGTCAATCCTATACATGATATTAAATATATTGTAATTGTGTTCATTCAACAAAAAACCAAAAAAAAAAAATCAAAAAGCTAAAATCAATGATTTAAAAAATCATTTTCATCGACAAAATGAAATGAATAGAATTTTTTGGTAATACAATTTTCGCACTACAAAATACTAAGTGAATTGTATCATCTATTTTGTATTTTTGCATTATTTATAAGTGATACAAAGGATTTTTACATCACTTATTGAATGATACTTGCATTATTGATGCAAATAATTAACATCTGTTTATTATCAACTGATGCAAATAAATAAAAATTGTATCATCTATTATAATTGATACTAAAATGTGTCAATTTTTTTACAAATGATACTTTATTTCCTATCAATTTGTAAAAGTGATGTTATTATTTGTGTCAGTTATAATAATCGAGGTCAATTATATATCATTCTTATGTAAATTAATTAATAATGATTATTAATTTATGAAATAATATAATTAATTAAGAAAGAATAATTATTAAATTAAAAATATTTTTTTTATTGTGGATATATTAAATGATGGTGGATATTTTCTCCCAAATTCTTGTTGTGATATCTATATTAACATTTTTGAAGTACCTTTTGTGTTCTACCCTTTTAGTTATACTTATTTAAAAAGTTATTTACAAAGTTAATCCTTAAAATATTGCACCAAAAGACAATAAGAAATATAAGGCAAAACAAAATGATTACTCAAAAAATATAGGAAAATACCTTAACAATCGAGAAATCATCTAGGTTCCTAAAATATCTCTGCTAATTTGGTTAATAATTTCCTAAATCATGAAATCGGATCTTTTGAATCATTAATACTTCCAAATATTTTAAAATTATAGCAAACATTATCCCATGTTATACAGCGGGTTACATCCTAATTTATTATATTTTTCTAATAGTTAGTTCACATATAGCTTATATTTCTTTTAAAAACAAGTTATATCGCAGTATATCACCTAATTTTAACATAAAAATATTATTATACAACATTAAACAAACCAAAAAAAAATACAGCTAAAATTTTCAATTTTTAGTGTATAAAATAATCATGTGGTGTACAGCGGGTTAAAATCTAGTATCTACTAAAAAGCTAATCAAATACATCACATGATAACAAAAAAAAAAAAACATCACATGAATAATCAATCAATCTTTATTATTAAAATTGAGTTCTAGTTTCTTCGTTTAAACACATCTTCTCTTTGTTCCATGCTTCTTCCTTCCATTAATTGTTACTTCTTGATGACAAAAAAAAAAAAAAAAAAAAAAAAAATTGTTACTTCTTATGAGAAATTTCAGTTCTACCTCTAAAAAAACTTCAATTCATCATATCACACTTCTACACAATTAGAAAAAAAAAAAAAAGAGATTAAATGTCTGCAAATTTATCACTTGTATAACTTGATTTACCCGGATTTATATGGTTGGCAGCCTTCAAAGAACGGATCTAAGAAAAAATAATTAAATAAGTAGGAAATATAAATATATTTGACTCTAACATGAAACTCGAGTTTTGTAGAGGACGATAAAACGGTTTATAAAATCTTTAGATTTTCTAAGGGAAAATTCCATAAAAATTCTCCATTGAATTTTAATTTGGAAGTTTAACACCCAATGTTATTCGACTGGAAATAACATACATGTTTTGCAACTAGCTCCACCTTCTGTTCTTAGTAGAGACACACATACACATTTGGATGAGCTATTGTAAATATTCTTTTCCAAATTTGGATGTTTTGAGCTATTGTAAAGATATCCACACACTGTCAGTGTCTCTGATTGAGACATGTCTACAAATATGATGTTAACAATAGTTCCTAGTTTTTTCCTGAGGATGTTAACAATAGTTACTGAGGATGTCTACAAATATGATGTTAACAATAGTTCCTAGTTTTTTCTTTTCCATTGTTGCTGCAGCCAAAATTCATCTGCTTTATGATATTTTCTCATTCACAACATCATGGAACAGCAGGGGTTTTACTTTGTATATATACAACAACTCCAAAATTTCCTTCGTTCATTCATTGGTATGTTGAGCTATCTATAACCTCCCCTACCTGCAACTATCAAGAGAGAGGCAATGCACATAGTCGTCACGTGAATCTATAACTCCCCTACCTGTAAGATCATCACTGGTGAGGAGAAAATGTCTGCCTGCAACTCCAACTTTTGAGTCATGTGAATCTCTGCTGAGTATGGGACTCACACGAAGGACATGAACTCTTCCGGAGCTCGAGCATACAGTCACCAACCTGGAAAATACATGGAAACACCAAGAAGGAGGTATCATCTTACATCCACGATAATTACATACATTCATATGTGCTTATTGCTGTAATTAATACCTGTCGGAAGCAAGCAGTTGATGCGATTCAAAATGCAGATTCTCATCGATGTATGCAGATGCTGTAATCGGGTCCCCAATACTGTATTCCCACACAAGATTGCCAGATTCCTGAAGTGAATTCCACAAAACAGTCATAACTAAATATACTGAAGTTTTGAGACTAGTGCCACAAAAACTGATCCTCATGAACGTCCCTATCGACTTTCCTAAACCAAGCTTCATACTAGTAAGACCTCATTGTGGGAACAAGTACGGAGGTTTGCGCATACTCTACAATGTGTCAATCGATTCGTGTTAGTTAATGTTTATAATGAACTCATGTACTACACTTATTTGTGCTAGTTTGACTTATCTTCCTACGAGGCCTCACACATAGTTCAATGAAACCATTCTCGCTATAATGATTACTACCTTGTCTTTAGTTTAATGTCTTATAGTATGTTTTTAAAAATAAAAAAGTTCACTTATTTGACTCAGAGTTTTATGTTCATACGTTTGATAAATTTGTTCTCCATGCTTTTGTATGCACTTAAAGAATTAGACTTGGTTGATATAACGTGCGTGTCAAGTACTCAAGTGCAAGCCTCTAGTGGTTTAGATAGTTCATCACTTGATACGACGTGAAACAACTAAACGAACACACACTTCATAACTTAATGTAAGATAGCTTATTGATGACTTTTTTCGTTGGGGACAGTATAGTGAAATGAAACAAAACCAAAAGGGACTTTAACTGGCAAATCTATGAGCAATTACGTCCACTTCTTATACAAGTTACCACTTACTAGGAGCTGGACAATGCAAGTTGATGACTTGTTATAGTGTTCCATCATCATCTCCTCAATAACTTCAGACACTTGAGGGACTATAAGCTGTGTTGGATCATTCTCTTCCATATAGATCTTCATCTCCTTCAAACATGGAAAATAGTCCAAGAAATGTTTTATCAGGAGGATCTCTTTGGTTGCTCCTTGAAACCCTTTAATCTCTAACAATTTTACTGGACAAGATGTGAGTGAACGACCCTTTTCCTCCCGAGAAACGCAATCACAAGCATCCCCGCATTTATCTGTCACATAGTGCAAGAGACCCTGAAATCATAAAGAAAATAAATGATTATTCAAAGTATGAACTCTATCTTTATATATATATATATATATATGTTTGGCAAATGATTTGTTTCATACCTCAAAGACTAGAGTTTCTAAAAGCGGACATTTCCTTAGAAGAACCGGCATTGCTTGCCATCCTCGTTTATTGTCGCTTTTAATAGTTAACGAGTTGAGGTTTTTGAACATTGGCAATGATTCACAACATACAGAAAGCACCTGATAACAAGAAAACTCACAATTAGAACAAACATTACTACTACAAAGTATAAATATCAAAAATATAGCAAAAGAAGAAGAGAACTGACCTCAAGAGTATTAGGAGACAGAACTAGACACCGAACATTTCGAATGCCATTCATAAGGTTCCCAACATTTGAAAACCGGTTGATAACATTCTCTTCATCATTCTCTAACAAAATACCGTGTGGCAATCTTGCTCGCTCGATCTCTTTTTCCCTTACCCAAAGGCTGATCTGAGCCTCAAACAAGTTATCCATATTAGCTACGGAATAATCTTCCGCGGCATAATCAGAGTAACCAAAGTAAACAAGACTAGGTGTATCAAATAAATAATTAATTATACTACTGTTGAACCCTATTGTTAGGACCTTGAGGCTTGCACTTGATACAGTCACGGTAACATCCCAATATTCTTTCCAGTCTAAATCATATAGGACTAATTCCTCAAGTGCAGGCAAAGCATGAAGAAGAATCTCAAACTTATCAGCAGATACATAAACTGATTTCAGAACAAGAGTTTTGAGCTTCGGTAAGAAAAGGCTCCCATCGATTAAACTAAGATCAAATCCAAATTCTAATTCCAACTTAACTAGTTTCTTGTTCTGGAAAACTTTCGGACACATATGGTTATTGTTATCTACTGATTCCCTATCATCAAAGATCGATAGATCAATCTTGGAAACACCACGCACCATCACATTCTGTATCCAACCATTCACACGATCTATATCAATATTGCCGATACCATCGAGGTAGAACTTCTTTAAGGGAGAAGTACCCTGCAATGCCAATACTCTATCCATAAAATCCATGAAGCTCGGTCGAAAATCAGTGTCATCAATGTCAAGATTAGGGACAAACGCAATCAAATCGCGCCATCTCTTGGACAAAACAGATGTCAAAGCAGCCTCTTTGGTGGTAAGGAAGGATAGTATATGACAAAGAAGCTCTTCTGGTAGATTGCTTATGAGATCCATCTTCTTTCTCTTCACGTACAAAACGAATTGTGACTATGGTTAGAGAAGTCTTAAAGGAACAAGAAGACTTATAGAGTTACTTTTCCTTTATTATGGTTTTTGGTATTTTTACTTTATTATGTTTTAGGTATTGTTTAAGGTTTTTCTTTGTAACCTGAGGCCCAAGCAACTATTGTTGGTTAAGGAACCAATTGAACCAATTGAACCAGATAAAATTAAATGTAACCCGAATTAGAACCGAGTAATCGGAACGGTTTGGAAACTAATTGAATTGAAAAGTTGGATTAATCGTTAAAGATGAGAGAACCCTAGCCACCACCACCAACACCAACACCAAGGTCAGCTTTTTCAATTGAACAGAGTTTTCATATGTCACTAAAGAAACTTAATTTTACACAGAGGAGCTTCTGAAGAATCTTGAAATGAAATATTACGAGGGTGCAGCTGGAACAGTTGAGTATAAAAAGGGTCTTTTGTCATACTTATTGCACGGGAAAGACGAGTTCTTTGCTGGTTTAGAAGAAGCATCAGCTGATGCCACATACAGAACTATTGGTAATCTGTGGAATAGTTACCCGAAGGACGAGGTATAACGAGCTTATATTTAGCTATGTCACAAATTCTACTGTGGGATATGTGAATGTTAGATCTTATAAATTACCTCTTTTGTAGGATTTTGAACAGTTTCAGACTCCATCCGAAGAGTTCACGATCGATGCTGAATCTGAATCTCTGAAGAGTTCCAACTATTTCTGTGAACTCTTTAGGATCAAGCCGGTGGTATCTTTCTTTAGAAGTCTCGTAAGAAGCTACGTAAAGCAAGTTGTTGTTGCATGATGGTCTTTTAAAAAGACTCTTTTTGAAGGGATTTGAGTTGCAGAGGATAGTTGGGAAGTAGTTGGAGAGGGAATCAGGTGTGTTTGGACAAGTACATGAGTGGAGTCCGAGGGAAGTTGTCAGTGCCCAAGACACAATATTGCCAAAAAGAGATTATTGCATTTAGTATAATCATCAAAAGGCATACAACATTCTTGTCACCTATGTTAGTTCCTTTCACTAGAGCTATCTAAAGAAGTTGCCTAGTTCAAGCAACAACGTTTTTTACATGTCATCCAAAATTTGATTAGCATCCATAAGTTCCACATATGGGGAAGTGTCAATCGTTAACAATCAACAAAACTTGTAATGCAGAAAAACAAAACTTAGGAAATACACAACATATAATGCAGCTAGGGAAATATGAAGATATACCTGGGAATTACTTGAAAGCCTTAGGCAACTCTCATTTCTTATGGTAAATATATACAATACATTGCATTTGAAAATTAGGTCTAGATAAATAGTGCAATGGCCCGCTTTTGGTGGAGTAATAGAGCAGATAGCTCGGGTATTCATTGGATCTCTTGGGACCATATCTGCTCCCATTTCTCAGACGGGGGTCTAGGGTTTCGGGTTCTCGAGGACTTTAACCTAGCCCTTTTGGCAAAGCAACTGTGGAGGTTACTTCGATTCCCAGATTCTTTACTTAGTAGAATACTCAAAGGACGGTACTTTCGTTACAGTAGCCCCCTGGAGATTTCCGTATCTAATCGGCCGTCCTATGGATGGAGAAGCCTACTTGCATCTAAAGCAGTACTAAAACATGGAATCCGGAAAACAATTGGCTCAGGATTTAATACGTTTATTTGGACGGACCCATGGATCCCAGATTCTCCTCCTAGACCACCCATTGGGATCACAGGGGACAGAAACCCCTTGGTCTGCGTTAACACTCTTATTGATCCGGTGTCCAAAACCTGGCGAATGGAAAAGCTTAGGGAACTTTTCCCACCACAGGAAATTGCCCTTATAATGGGAATAAATCCGAGTTTAAATAGATCTCGAGATGGATATAGCTGGTCTGCCACTAAATCAGGCAACTATACAGTCAAATCTGGTTACGAAGTTGCGAGAACTCTATCTCGCCCAGCTTGCGACCTCCCTTTTCAGGGACCTTGTGTTACCGCTCTACAGGCGCAAGCGTGGAAATTAAAAACCACACGGAAACTTAAACATCTAGTGTGGCAAAGCGTGTCAGGTTGCCTTGCAACTTGTCAAAGATTACATTATCGCCATATTGGCAGGGACAAATATTGTCCCCGATGCGGTGCAGAAGAAGAGACTATTAATCATTTATTCTTTGAATGCCCTCCAGCTAGACAAGTTTGGGCTCTTTCGGCTATTCCTTCGGCACCTCAAGTTTTCCCACTATCCTCCCTTTATAGTAATTTGGATTTCCTATTCTGGAGAGGTAAGTTGGGTGGTGCCTCTGCAGAGAGTTTGCAAGTATTCCCATGGTATATGTGGTTTATTTGGAAAGCAAGGAACAAAAAGCTCTTTGAGAATAAAGAGGAATCCCCACAAGATACGGTGGATAAGGCAGTTTTGGAAGCAGAATTGTGGCATCAAGCCAATAACCAAGTTGTTTCCACGTCTGTGGGTGAGATTAGGGGAGACCTTAGACCCCTACCGTGTGACTCATTGGTATGTTTTATTGATGGGTCGTGGATGGAGGCGGATGCCAGAAGTGGACATGGCTGGATAGCTTCGACAGGTGAGCATGACATCCTTCTTGGTTTAAAGTGCTCACCTCGGAGCCTCTCGCCTCTTCACTCGGAGTTAGATACTCTATTATGGGCTATGAAATGCTTAATTGCTCACTCGGTCGACAAAGTTATAGTCGCAACGTATTGTCAAGATTTGGTTACTATGCTCGCTCAAGGAGAGGATTGGCCAGCTTTTGGATCAGAAATTCGTGATTTTTCCTTTTTACAGCACAGTTTTTCCGAGTTTAGTATTAGGCATATTCCTAGAAGTTGGAATTTCCGTGCTGATAAACTTGCGAAATGTGCAAGAGTGCGTGGTTTTTGTTTTTCCCATGTAGGTCAATCGGTCCCTGCTTGGCTCTCTCTCGAAGAAAATCAATTCCGATAGACTAGTGTATGGGGTTTGTAGGCAAAAAAAAAAAAAAAAAAAAAAAAAAAAGGAAATACACAACATATAATGCAGCTAGGGAAATATGAAGATATACCTGGGAATTACTTGAAAGCCTTAGGCAACTCTCATTTCTTATGGTAAATATATACAATACATTGCATTTGAAAATTAGGTCTAGATAAAAAGAACTATTGGATTTGTTTTTGCTATTAGTAAACATAACTACATATAAAAAATTAGTAAGAGAAATATGGTTCGTCTATTTCGGGACAGAAAATCCATCCCGTCCTGTCCCATATGCCATGTTTTTCCATCTCATAACCGTGGTTTTACTAATAACTTACTTATTTGTGATTGTATATTTTAGTACAATAGATAGAGAAATAGGTAAAAAAATTTAGACTCGCACGTACGTGTGGAATTTTATTGGTAGGTACATTTATTTATTATAGAATTTATAAGATAAAATTATAAGAATTAACTATTTTTATCGAGTTTGTAAAATGTTTGAAATAATATTCGATTTACCATAAACTTCATATTGTCATGACACGGGACCCATATCGAGTGTGAATCGGATTAGTGATCACCTAAATTTCTATTAAACTTGTGAACTATCAAACCAAATATAAGTATTGAAAGAACATTATAACTTCGTGAACCGGATTTCCAAATATAATTGTCAAACATGTCAAACTCGTTCGCTATGCCTACTCTGCGCCGCAATTGATTAAAATATTTTATCTATATAAGAAAAAATATTCCATAATGTACATTAGTTAATAGTATGTCTACATTACATGCTTGAATTCATGTTATCCAAAAATCCCGTTATCTTAAATTCTCGTCTCGTATTTTATCCGGAATAGTTTAGATAATGGTTTTTATTTTACGAATTAGTCATAATCTTTCTGTACCCGTTATTTCATATACAAGTATCTTAAATAAATAGGAAAGTTGAAATTGAATTTCACTATACAAATTTTATGACCTCGTCTCGTAATTAGTAACCTTTATTTTTCATTCTGTATTTGTTTTTAAAAACAGTTTATATAATATTTTAAGTATACATTGTCTTCTTGGACCCGTTATTTCGTGTCTCAATATTTGAAATATATAGAAAATTTAGAAAGTGAATTTAGCAATTTAAATTTCATGTTCTTGTATCCTACTCGCTATTTTATATTTGAAAGTTCAAATTGAATTAAACTTTATGATCTTGTCTCCAAACCATTATATATCATCTTGTTTTTTTTTCTATGAGAAATATTTTAGATAATGTTTGTTTTTCAAATTATATATTCCCATCTCGTACCCATTACTATGATTTTTCTTCTATATAACACCATGTACATGTTGTAAAATAATTTTAATATATGTAAAATTTCCATATAATCGTCCGAAAATAGAGACATACGTGCCGAAGCTGCCTTTTATTCGGTTTTTTGAGATTTTGAGAATTAGATACAACTACCAATCGTTTTTATTCCAACCCATCATCCAAAATTTTATATCTCATATTTCTCAAGGATAGTTCAAAATTGTACGCAGTGTATATGTGGAATAATGGTTGTAAATATTTACTTATTATATCATTTATAGTTTGGATTCATACCAGTTTGACATTTAGTTTGGTTTTAGTAAGAAATAGCTAACGATTTTGTTCTTGAACACTTGACTTTTTTTTTTTTTTGAAAATTACTAAAAAGAAGTAGAAATAAAATCATAAAAATATAATCCATTTATTATTTAAAAATTGTTAATAAGTCGTACAATTTATTTAAATGTGATGTATCCCCTTATTATTATGTTTTAATGTTAATTATATTTTTCTATGTTTATAATCTCAAAATGCAGTTTATGATTTGATAAAAAAAATTAGTTAAGATTAGATTATAGTACAGATATGCAAATTGCCTATGAACGTAGATTTATTTTGTTACGATCGTGTTAAAATAATAAGAAAAACAAGTTTGAAATAATTCCTATGGATGTAGATTTATTTTGTTACGATCGTGTGAAAATAATAAGAAAAAGAAGTTTGAAATAATCATTAACTAATTGTTTGATAAAAATAGTTCATCAACTAATCTCTACTATATAAAAGTTGAGGCTATAAGCTTTTGAGAGCGTCCACATAGGATTTTAGACGACCAATCGGGATTAGACATCTCATTATTTTTAACAAATTTTTAATAGCAATTATTTTCCATATCTAAAATTATGTAAAAAGAAAAATTAACCATGATATATGGAAAATAAAACAAATATTTTAAAATATAGGAACTATTCTAAATATAAACTTTTGTTATTAAAATATTTGATACAAAGATAATCAAATTTGTTTTTCAAATTTAATTAAATTCATCAACGGAAATATTTTAAAATGTGTAGCATATGTTTGATTTTAAACAACCAATCACGGTTAGAGATTTCATTATTTAACATTTTTATAATTATAATAATTTTCTAGATTAAGAAAAAACAGGATATACAGAATTCAAAGAAATTTTTAAAAAATTTATATTGGGAAATAGTTATTTTGTATTCTAAGTTTTTTTAATAAAGGAAAAAGATATGAAACATTTAATAATAAAATTTTTAAAGTTGTACATTTCTAAAATCTATGAAGTTTAAATAATTTTTTTAAAAGAAAATATCCATCATTATTAGTCTCACTAAATTTGTTTGTTTTCCAAATTTGATCAAAATATCCAGTTTATTGATTGATGTTGTTTCAAAATTTGTAATTTTAATATTAATAACTCACATAGAGGAGAAAATATGAAACTATAGTTGAGATTAGAAATTTCATCATTTTTTTATAAATAAAATAATTTTCTATATTAAGATTTTTGAAAAAATGAAAAAAATCAAGATATATAGATTTCAGAGAAACATTAACTATGCTCCAAATTTTATGATAGTGTATATCAAAAGAGAATAAAAGGATAACCAAAGCTTCTCAATCACTATAAAGACTTGGGTTAAGAATTTTAGATCTATATATAACTATATTAGATATCAGAAAAATGTAAACTTCCCTCCAATTTATAAAAAACGAATAAATGGGATAAACAAATCTTATCATTCACGATAATGACTTGGGTTAAGAATTTTAGATATGAAATTCAATAAATGACAAATATGGACTTTATTGTTGGCAAGAGGGTAAGGAATATGAGCCATATATTTGAGGAAATTAATTCAGCATTTGAGAAAGAAATTTTATGTAATACTGTTCCATGTATTTAGAGAGAGCAGAGATGGTTGGTTAACGGGATCTCCGGCTCTGGCAAAGATTATAAAATATTTAGGCGGTTGGATCATAAAAGGAAAATTGCAAGGAGAGTATAAATCCCCGACTAGGAGAGGCCATTGTTAAAAGTTATAACCTAACTAGGTTTTGGTTGTAGACTTAGATTTTGAATTCTTTATTGGCGGTCAAGTTTTGTCCCTGATTATAAGAGTGGCGAAATGGATGCCAGAAGTTAGGTTTTTTTTAAATAAAATTAGTGGTGATGAGAGAGGATATGAAAATACAAATCAAAAATATTCTATTATTTCTATATAGTGCCAATCGGTATTTTTCATTTTCATAATTGTAACAACCCGTCCTGTGTGATCATCCGCCATGTGGCACACTCCGCCACATGACATCCTTACAGCGCTGCAGCGCATCGACCCGAACCTCTCTCATGTGGGCCCAAACTGCGCAGCCCACTTACTCGCAGCCTCCTGGCCCAGCAGGTAGGTTATTGGTGCGCCTAGCGTTACTCGAACCCAGGTCCTCACCCTTTAACAACCTTACCACTTGACAAGTTGTTACCAATTTATCTGCAGGTCAGTAAAATAGCACTAATTAATATAATTATAATATTTTAAATTATATTTATATTTTTTTTTTAATATTTGGGTTGACTATTTTACATTTAGGATATAATTTTTAGGAGGTAGTGTTTAGAGTTTTGGATTTAATTTTGATAGTTTAATTATAAAATATGGTGCTATTTTTGCAATTTTGTGAAATGTGTGCTAAATTCGGAAACAAAACTTGTTTTGGTGCTATTAATGAGAATTGTCCTTTATTTAATTTCAATATTTTTGAAACATCAAAAAATCTTATCGACCTCAAAAGAGATCTTAGTTTGATTTATTATGATACTTTCAGTATCAGACTACCACCCCCTAAATTTTGAAGTGGCGTTTGATACTAGTTGTACATATTTTTGTACCCAAGTAGGATCATAAAAGATCATTGACGTACACAAGTATTGGTATTGCTCATTTGATATTTTAATTTATTCATACTATGGAGTTACAAATTTTTACTTTATCCTATATCGCAAAATATATATTTTCGGAGGTTTTATGTCTATATCAAAAACTTGATTCTTCTATAAATTTTATCAATGAATACTAAGAAATTATAAATTTTAAAAATAATTAATTAAGAATTTAAATTTTGGTGAATTACTATTGGTTAATAACTATAAAAATGTTTTAGTATGAAAATTAATGCATTTATAGTTAAATATGAAATAATTTTCTTAATTTGTGCCATTTTTTTTACCAAATCCACCTTTTCGATACACAGAACATACTAAATTAGGATATGATTTGAACCTATTACATCATATAATGTATACTGAATAAGATGATTAATTATACATTTTGTACCTTACAAACTTTTGTAAATGGTATTCTATATTTATCTTATGAAAGATAAATGATAAGCTCATATTATTTAAATATTTTCAATCCTATACATAATATAAAATATATTTTAATTATGTTCATTCAATAAAATACCAAAAAAATGGGGAATTTCAAAAATACCCCTTTTCCAATACCACTTTTTTAAAATACCCCTCTTTCTAATTTTATCAAAAAGTCACTATAAAATTTGAAATTTATCAAAACAATATGTGTAAGCTTATATTTATAGACACAAATTATCTTTATATGTGTGTAAATATATATATATATATATCATAAATACCGTATAAATACCTTTTAAAATAATTTAAAACCTTATAAAAACTTTCTAAACCTTTTAAAAACACTTATAAAAACCTTATAAATGCCGTTCAGAAATTTTTAAAAACTTATAAATATTTGGATTTAGTCTTCCAGTAGTAATGATGATCTTAATGTACCTTATCAACCATATAAAAATTTATAATTTTTCATATTTGAAAAGGGGTATTTTTGAAAATGTATAGAAATGAGGGGAATTTTTAAAAAGGATACACCAAAAGGGGCATTTCTCAAAAATTATCAAAAAAAAAAAAAATCAAAAAGCTTAAAATCAATGATTTAGAAAATTATTTTCATCAAAACATTATCTATAATAATGTAATAGTTTATGACAAATGAAATGATTAGAATTTTTTGTTTATCTAGTTTTTGGCACTACAAAATACTGAGTGGATTGTATCATTTATTTTGTATTTTTGCATTATTCATGCAAATAATTAACATCGGTTTATTATCACCTGATGCAAAAAAAAAAAAATTTTATCAGTTATTATAATTTATATTAAAATGTGTCAATTTTCTATAAATGATACTATATGTCCTATCAATCTGTAAAAGCGATGTTATTATTTTTGTTGGTTATAATAATTGAGGTCAAATATATATCAAACAATTTTATATAAACTAATATAATTAATTTACAAATAAACTAATATATATCAATTTTCTATAAACTAATATAATTTTATTATTTGTGTCGGGTATTAATTTTTGAAGTACTATAAATAATTACAAAATAATAATTATTAAATTCAAAATATTAATTATTTTTAATATATTTATAATTTTTTTTTGTTAGTTTTCGTAAAATATAGGAAATCATGGTGGATTTTTTCTTTTTTACATCTTTTCAAATTATACGTCTCTCCTTAAGAGACACCAGACTCGAGCCCGGATTTTGTGAAAAGACAACAGAGGTGAGAACCACTAGCCCACTTGTCATTCTCAATCATGGTGGATATTTATTTCCAAAATCTTGTTGCAATATATTGACTAAAAATCTAATCAATTACATCACATAAATAATCAATCTTTAATACCAAAAAAAAAGGGAAAAAGATGGCTGGCTACACCAACTATAGAGTAATGCATAGTCACACATGCCAATTATCATATTGTATACTCAACTACACGAACTAGATGTATTGCATGACCACATGTATCAACTATACAACGTCATGTAGTCAACACCATAGACATAAAATTCTGGTACACCGGTCAACTGACTCTGGCGTTGACCGGTGTTGACTCCGGCGTTGACCGTTTTTGACCCAAAAAAATATTCCAAATTTTTTTATATTATTTTATTTTTATTGTTAAAAAACTAAAAACTGTAATTATTTTATAATGAATTGTTATGGTTTTGTATACTTTTAAAAAATATAATCTTAGGAAAAAAATTGTAACAATAATTTTTGTATTTAAGTAAATCACATAATAAGTTAATGGTTTTGATTGACAATGTAAAAATACGCAATTCTTACTAATTGATAAGATTTTCCAGTTTTAATTTAGATTCTAATATCTTGAGTTATTTTACTATTAGTTTAGCTCTAAATTTAGAATTAACTAATTATAATAAGAATGAATACATTAAAGATTTAAACAAAACTAGTATTTAGATATTGAATATATAAAAACAAAATCAATATTTTTTTAATTAATTTTTTTATGGTTTTGTATAATGAAAATATATAATCTTAGGAAGAAAATTGCTATGATGATTTTGTATTTAAAATAAATCAAATAATAAGTTAATATTTTTATTAACAATAAAATTAAAATTGCTATGATGATTTCGTCATTTTCTTCCTAAGATTATATTTTTAATAATATAATATCTTGAAATTGTTTATAGTTTTGTATAATTAAAAATTCAAAATTAATTACAGTTTTTAGTTTTTTAACAATAAAAATAAAAATTATATAAAAAAAAGTTTGGAATTTTTTTTGGGTCAAAAACGGTCAACGCTGAAGTCAACACCGGTCAACGCTAGAATCAGTTGACCGGTGTATTAGAATTTTATGTCTATGGTGTTGACTAAATGACGTTGTATAGTTGATACATGTGGCCATGCAATACATCTAGTTCGTGTAGTTGAGTATACAATATGATATTTTGCATGTGTGACTATGCATTACTCTATAGTTCGTGAAGCCAGCCATCTTTTTTCCAAAAAAAAATTATAATTGGGTTTTGGTTTCTCACGTTTAAACACATCTTCCTTTTGTGCCATGC